AAACTACCTGAACCAGGAAAAAGTCTAGTTCTTAAACTTATCAGCTCCTCCTGATCCACAGATCTAGAACAAAGGAAACAATGCCCACCAAAATAAAAGCTCTGGCTCTCAGGAGGTTAGGAAGTCAGAGTTCACCTTCTTCCGTCTCGTGCCACACGATGCCCTCCAGGTTGACGCTGGTCCCGGGCTGGCAGGGCCCCGGGCAGGCCGGGTCCCCCTCTGGGGGGCCGCCGGCGCCCCCCCCCTCCTGCGTGCTGGTGCCCACCGACCTGGTCCTCACCGCCAGCTGCTTTGGGTGGGAGGTGGGCAGGGCCGGGGAGGAGAAGCAGGGGACCGAGGGCAGGGAGGACCCGGGGGCCCCCGGGTGGCCCGGAGCCGGGGGGGCCGGCACCGTGAACATGGGCTCCACCTGCGGGACCAAACGGGACACATGTTGTGAGTCTGTTTGTGTCACATTCTGGCACATAAGGTCAGGTCTGATAAATATTGAACAAAAGACCAGACGCTGCTCAAAAATGGACCAAAAACTCCAATAATTAGACTGTAAATAAGCTAAAATATTGAACAAAATATCAGAAAAGCTGACAAACTGATCAAACAAATGCCAAAAGAAGACAAAAATTGGCAAAAACTACAAGCAAAAGTACAGAAACTGCTAAAAGCTTAGACAGAAATCAGCTAAATACTGGACAAAATATCAAACCAAACAGAAAAAGCTTCAATTCACATATTTGGTAATTTGGCACCAAAATGTGAGGAAAAAGACCAGAAAATGTGGACAAAGTGATTCAAAATGTTTTTAAAAAAGACACAAAACTGAACAAAGGTACAGCAAAAGAACAGAAACTGATTGACCTAAAAGAATTAGACAAAAAATAAACTAAATATTGAGCAAAAGACCAGAAACTGCTCAAAAATAGACTAAAAACTCCAATAATTAGAACGAAAATCAAGTAAATATTGAACAAAATGTCAGAAAAACGGACAAACTGATAAACGAAAAAATCCAAAAGAAGACAAAAATGGGAGAAAAATACAAGCAAAAGACCAGAAACTGCTCAGAAATTAACTAAAAACTGCAATAATTAGACAGGAAATCAGCTAAATATTAAACAAAATGTCAGAAAAGCCCAAAAACTCATAACAAAGATACCAGAAACTGCTCAGAAACAACTTCTCTGGCACATCTGAGCCTAAAAACATCCAAAACATCATGCAAATTTAGGCAAGAATGTGCATCAATGTGCTTTTTCTGCAGGAATTCAAGCAAAATCATTGATTATTGGACACAAATCATAAGGTTGGATGTCGTGGAACAACTGAGCTCAAAGACAGAATAAAACAATAACATATGATATTCATCAAAGTTTGTTTTTCCAAAAGCACAATTTTTTTAGCTTAAAGTTTATTCAAAGTGTCTTAAAAAAACGAAAAAATACAAAAACAAGATTATTTTCAAACCCAGGCTGCAACAATTGAACAAAAAAAGTCTATTTTCATGTAATATAGTTTGACACACATTTTCTGCTTTTTTATCTAAAAAAATGACAAAACCCTCTGACTCAAAGCGTTTAAATCTTTAAAGATCAATAGTTATTTTCTAGAAATCATTCGATCTCTGAAAGTTAATTAAATATTTTCTGAAAGCCTTTTGGAAGAAAGTGGCCAACATTAAGCTAATTATGAGAAAAACACAAACAGAAATCTGTCAGATTATTGGATTTTCTACTTTAAAACTCTACAATTTCAGGACATCCCGTCGCCATGGAAACCCATCATTTCCTTTTCAGAGCCGAGGCTCAGAAATGTCTGGCAAGGGACACAAAACTGCAAAGAAGTCCAGCGAAAAACAAGAAAAGGACCAGACCCAAACTTCAAGAATGGATACAAAATGACCAAAATGTGGAGCAAAGGAAAAGAAAATGTGGACAAACTGATTAAAAATATTTGTTTAAAAGACACAAAACTGAAGAAACGTGCAGCAAAACACCAGAAACTGCCCATAAATAACCTAAAAACTCCAACAATTAGACATAAAATCAGCTAAATATTGAACAAAATATCTGAAGCTAATTGGAAATAACCTAGAAACCTTCAATGTTCAAAAGAAAATAAACAAAATATTGAAAATAAGATAAGAAGCTGATCGGAAATGGACCAAAAACTCCAATAATTACACAGAAAATCAGTTGAATATTGAACAAAAGAACAGAAACTGCTCGGAAATGGACTAAAAACTCCAATAATTAGACAGGAAATCGACTGAATATTGAACAAAGGACCAGAGACTGATCTGATATAAAGTAAAACTCCAATAATTAGACAGAAAATCAGTTAAATAGTGAACAAAATAACAAAAGCTGATCGGAAATAACCTAAAAACCTTCAATAATTTAACATAAAATCATGAAGATATCAAACAAAACACCCTAAACTGCTCAGAAATAACCTCAAAACTCCAATAATTAGATAGAAATAGAGTTAAATATTGAAATTAAAACAGAAGCTGATTGGAAATAACCACAAACCTTCAATAATATAGCAGAAAATCACTAAAATATTATGACCAGAAACTGCTCAGATTTAAACTAAAACTCCAACAATTACACAGAAAAGCCCCCTGACCCTCAGATCCAGCAGCTTTCTGCCCCCTGACCTTCTGGTTTCTCTCACTGTTCGTGTTTCTGGTCTGTTTTTTTTGTTCTCCCGTTTAGCTTAAAGTTTCCAGAAATGGAATAATCGAGTCGGAGTTCTGGCTGCTTTTCCTCCAGATTGGCCCTGGAAGCTTCCTCTGTTTCTACTCTGACAGAAACACACAGTAAATACAGCAGAAAAACACAAAACAAAGTAGAAAATTACTCAAATAAAGCAGAAAAAGACTAAATAAATCAGAAAAACAATAAATAAAACAGAAAAACAATAAAACGAAACAGAAAGCACTCAAATAAAGCAGAAAATCAATAAATAAAGCAAAAAACTATCAAATTCAGCAGAAAAACAATGAACTAAAGCAGGAAATAATGCTTTCAGATCAGCCTTTTCTTTTATTTCCTGTCTTTTCCCGTCTTTTTCCTGCTTCCTTTCTTTGATCTTTTCTTTGATCTTTCCATTCTCTTCCTGCCTTTTCCTGTTCCCCATCTCTTTCTTTTTTCTTTTATCACCTGTCTTGTTCCTTCTTCTTCTCTTTGCTTTAATCTTTTCTTTGATCTTTCAATTTCTCTTCCTTCCTTTTCTTGTTTCCCATCTCTCTTTCTCCTGTCTTTCATCTCCTCCTTCCATCTTTTCCTCCCACCCTTTTTTCCATCTTCTTCTCCTTGAATCCTCCCTTCTTGCTTCCTGTCTTCCTTCTTTCCGTCCTTTTTCCTATGATCCTCTTTGCCTTCCTGGTGTGGTCTTTTCTTATTTCTCCCATCCCTTTCCGGGCTTCCCCTCCTCTTCCTCTCCCTCCTTTGTGTGCCCCCCCCCCCCCCTCCCTCCTCCCCCCCTCCCCCCCCTCCCCTCCCGTTAAACTCCTCACTGGTGCTTTTTTTCCTTTTTGTTCCTGGACAGAAATCATCCCTGTTTTCATTGTCGGGCTGCAGAAAGACGAGCCGCGTTTTGAGAGCGGCCATCTTTTTTTTCTCCGCCTCCTCCTTTTTTTCATTCCCTCCACATAAA